TAATTCTGTCTCAAGGCACATTCCCAGCTGTGCAGGGTTTTACAAGCCGGTGGGTCAACAAATACTCTTCCAGCGCCCTCCAACCTCCTCCTGCTAAACCGGGGAACTGTTCCTCAAGCTTCTTTTGAACCTGGACCAGTTGATAAAATGCTGTGTCGGCATAACGAAACATGCAGCAAAGTGGAGGTGATCGGAGGGATGGAGATGGGAACACCAGTCCTGCTGCCTCCACTCCTCTTCTTCTCGTGGTAACACCTTCCTGCACCTCCAAAACCACACAGCCAATACTCCAGTCAACGTTCCTAAACCACCCCGTGGTAGCTCCCCATCGTGTTCTGAGAGTGATCTCAATTAAATAAGAGTTTAGAGAAGAAGAACTTTTAACAGTTGTGGTGGAGCTGCCACCTCTCTGAGAGCTCTCTGTAAAACCCAGCAGGGCTGGTGAGGGTGAGCCTCGCGGGCTGAGCTCATGGGGAAAGGCTGCAAAACTGGTGGGATCCCAATTTCCAGTGTTTTACAGGGAAAATAAATTACAGAGAGAGCACTCAGGCTTTATTCCTTGCATTTAACAGGTCAGCTCAGAGCTCAACTCTGCATTCTATTTCTGTGTATTTGGAGTGAAAGGTTCTTTAAAGGAGATCCTGTTTGTAAGGATCATGGAGCAAAGCAATTTCTTCCCAGTTCTCCTTAAAACATGCTTTATGCACCACAATATTTTCTTTCTACATGTATAAAATAGTTATAACACGAGCACTTCCATACACTAGTGATGGAATACATACTTAAGTGATCTAGATGAAAGCCATGTTCTTTCCTGAAGAGAAGATAAAATGAGTTCCCACTCTCCTCTGCTATTTCTTTTGGGTTCCTGTATAATCGCTGTGAAATATTCCAGGTAATACCCATTACCCCTCGTCAGCAACACAAAATCAAACATTCCTGACTCCAGAGGCATCCCCCTGGCTCGGGAGAAGGAGAGTAAGCACCAGCTTGAGCAGCATCCGTGAAAGATTAGCAAGGAATTAATAATGAAAGCGGTTCCTGGACTCAACATGCCAAAAAAAGAGCTATTTTTAACATGTCTAGACATCCAGCACCATCTGATTACTTAAGGCTGGCTCTCAGCAAATGAAAAAAAAATAAAATATTGAGGTTTTTACGGTTTCCGAGTATCTTCACTTTAACCAAACACTCCTCCTGTAGGAATCGGAGCTGCACAAGGGATGGAGGAGGTCGCAGTGCCCAAGCCAGCCAGCAGCCTCCCAGCAGCACACTGTGACTTGGTTAAATTGGTCCTCTAATTTAAACTTCACCAAGACTGTCCCCTCCCCTCGAGAGCTCCAAATCAGCAAGAACTTTCCTGAAATCAAACGGTGCAAACCCAATTTGTGGTTCCTGCAGAAGGTCCTAGAGAGGGAGGCAGCCTCCGAGCAGGTATGTACGTGCTTGAAATCCGGACACTCTCCAGGTAATTCTGTCTCAAGGCACATTCCCAGCTGTGCAGGGTTTTACAAGCCGGTGGGTCAACAAATACTCTTCCAGCGCCCTCCAACCTCCTCCTGCTAAACCGGGGAACTGTTCCTCAAGCTTCTTTTGAACCTGGACCAGTTGATAAAATGCTGTGTCGGCATAACGAAACATGCAGCAAAGTGGAGGTGATCGGAGGGATGGAGATGGGAACACCAGTCCTGCTGCCTCCACTCCTCTTCTTCTCGTGGTAACATGGTTGCCAGGTAATTCTGTCTCAAGGCACATTCCCAGCTGTGCGGGGTTTTTACCAGCCAGTGGGTCAATGAATACTCTTCCAGCATCTCTGGACCTGCTCCAGCACCTCGATGTCTTTTTTATGGTAGGGGGCCCAAAACTGGACACAGCACTCGTTTGCTGGTTGCCAGGTAATTCTGTCTCAAGGCACATTCCCAGCTGTGCAGGGTTTTACAAGCCGGTGGGTCAACAAATACTCTTCCAGCGCCCTCCAACCTCCTCCTGCTAAACCGGGGAACTGTTCCTCAAGCTTCTTTTGAACCTGGACCAGTTGATAAAATGCTGTGTCGGCATAACGAAACATGCAGCAAAGTGGAGGTGATCGGAGGGATGGAGATGGGAACACCAGTCCTGCTGCCTCCACTCCTCTTCTTCTCGTGGTAACATCTTCCTGCACCTCCAAAACCACACAGCCAATACTCCAGTCAACGTTCCTAAACCACCCCATCCTGTGACGGCGTGTAGCTCCCCACTGTGTTCTGAGAGTGATCTAAATTAAATAAGAGTTTAGAGAAGAAGAACTTTTA